CTCCCGACCCCGACCCCACCGCGCTGCGACACTGCGTCGGCCTCCTCAAGTATATGCTGCACCTCGACCAGGTGAGTCACTCTTCAGTCCCCGCCTGCCCCCTCCCCCCACCTACTCTTCAGGATTTTCAGTTTTCGAGTTAACTGTCCCCAGTTTTCTTACTCGCTGCCGAACACGCTGCAATACTTCAAATTCAAACTAGTGGTGCAACATAATGGCGTAGACCTTCTCGTTGTAAATATTTTCTTATTTCCTTGGTGTGGACTGACTTTACGGTCTTGCCCCCATCCTATTGCCAGCTGCCACCTATCGCCGCCCAAAATACCTTTTTTTCACATTTTCTGAATTTTTTCGAAATACTGTTTTTTTCACGTTTCCTAATAGTAGAACCAAAATATTATTGTAAGAATATTAAAGAACAATAGAACCTCGTCCAAATGAGAATTTTCATTGAAACATTTTTACTCCTTTTTTAAAGAAAATGACATTTTAGCGTTGCTAAAGATGCAAAATTTTGAAACTCATTTTCACATAATATTTTCGACTTTTCGAAAAACATTTTTTGAAGTCATGTGAAGCACTTTAATTAACGAATGAAAAAATGTTAATTTTGCTGGAAATGGGCATATTAAAGGCGCGAAAGATTTTTAAAAAAATATATATTTCTTTAATTTTTGAGAAAACAAAAGAATACCTCAATCTTTTAGAGACTTTTTTGAGAAATTGTTGAAAATGTTCCAAGGGCTTCATGAAAGTACCCTCAAAAACAAAGTGCGTCTTCAATTTGGACAAAATCCTACGCATTGTTTAGACAGTGTTGTTCACAGACATATGGACGGACGTTTTGAAAAAAAAACCTTCGATATCAGAGATCCGAAAAACTGTATTTCCGTTGAAATCACGTAATCTATTTTCCGCGGCATTAAATAACTAACTCTATACTATGTATATTAGTCCTTATACTTACACGAAAAAGTAAAGAGGGTGAGATATTTGTATCATAGTTGTGAGAGAAAAATTACATCTTAAACAATATCAATGATTTGCAGCTTCCTAAATAAGGATTCAAACCTCTAAATAAAAAAAAAACTTCCATGGGCCTCCTTGTGCCCCCTTTAACACTTGGGATAATTAAGGGAGTTTGAGTGTTGTGAGCAGCCGCGGACAGTGTTTTTCTAATATTTCTCCTTCTCAGTAGTTCTGCGGATGTGGGAGATCCTCCAGCGCTACTGCCGTGAGGCTCCACTAAGGGGAGTGCTTATGCGCATCGAATAGGCTTCAGCTGATGAGCTTCGGGCACCAATTAGCGTCATAATATTAGCGGGGACTTTAATTGCAGCCAGATACTAAAATTATCACCTCGTTACAACATATTGAAAGATATTTATGAAGAATTTCTTTTAAATGTTGCATCTTGCACACCTTTATCGTGTTGTTTTTCGTTGGTTACTGCTAAAAATTGTCACTTTGTACTACTTTCGAAATGCCCTTCTCGCTCTCCATGCAACATGGCGGCTAGCGTCTGGTCTGGCTTTTCAAACGAAGTGCCCGTGCTTTGGTCACGTGTTTTTTGACACAAACTGGTGTTGCGCAGAACGAGCAAAAAATCGGTGCGCCGGAAGAACTCACCCATGTATTTCCACAGTTGGCTCCACATGATGTAAAGACATGGGGAGCTGCTCCACGGCACCGATGTTTGCTCGTACTGCGAATACGTCATGAACCACGTGACCACAACATGGACACTTCGTTTGAAAAGCTAGATGTAGCTGGCGGCGTGGCAAGCTATCAGAGCCAGCGAGAAACATTTTGAAAGTGGCATAAAGTGGCAATCTTCAACGGCGACCGACCAAAAATAAAATGATGAGGGAGAAGTTGAAATAAAAGATGCAATATTCGAAAAACAAATGCGTCGTATATCTGTTTCAATGACTTATAATAAAGTGATACTTTTGGTATCTGGCTGCATTTAAAATTCCTACTAATATTGTGGTGCAAACTGATGTATGGAGCTGTTTGGCTAAAGCGGGATGGGCTGCGCAACAGTACAAACACATGTCTTTGCATCCCGAGGCTCCATCCCAAATACAGCGCCGTCCTTTGCCCTCAGGAGCGCCGCATCCGCCCCTTGGAGGCCCTGTCGCACCCGTTCTTCCTGCTGCCCACCTGCAACCGCCGCCTCGCCGGCCTACCTCCGAGACTGACGGGGGCGCCACCGTCCAGGCCCCGCCCGCCGCCATCGCCGCCGCCGCGCCGCCTCCCGTTACAGCCGTCCGGGCGGCGCAGCGAGGGCGGCGTCCCGTCACCGGGGTCGCCCGGGTTACCCAGGCGCGATGCCCGCCCCGCCGCTGATAAAGCCCGCGCTTGCGTACCCGACTCTCACACCGGCGCAACGAAGCCGGCAATCGCCGACCGCCCTTGCTCATCGCTGCGCGCCCACCGCCCCAGGTACACGGCCCGCGGCGGCCGGACGGCGGGCTGCCCCTGCTCCAAGCCGCCAGCCACGCGCCGCGCTCGCCGCCGAGACGCTGACCGCTGCGCGAGCGCCCGCGCAGCCACGTGACCGGGTCCAAAGGCGACTCCCGGTGGTTTGACACTCGCGTCGAATTTTTATGGAGTGAGGGGAGGTCACCGTTGCGCCCATTCATTTGGCCCGTTTGAGGAATAGTGTGTTCATGTTACAGTTCACCACGAAAGTTTCTCCGCACTGAGCAGTCAGGGTCTCGTATTAAAAATTGCGTTTTTGGTGGTAGCAACCAGATCACTGGGGGGGGAAAAAGTGAAGGGGACAACACTTCCAGCATCTCTTACGAGTGTGGTGAGTATCCAATTCACTTTTTTTTAAAACTGCAGTTCGTGCTACCAACATAATTTCTGTTGCTAGCACTCTCACCAGTAAGGTGCTACTGCGGAGAGACTTACCTGGCACGCTGAATTACGTATTAATTAAATTAGTATTGAGACAAACCTCCCCCTAAAATAACAGAAAACACACACATCTCCGTGCAGAATCTTAGAGCGGAAACGCTTATTTGCAGATCAATACTTTTGTTACATCTTGCAAAGAGGAACACAGATATGTATGTGATGTTTCCTCTTTTTGTTTGTTTTAATACAATAATTGTTAATAAATAATATAACATCCTATGCAACATCATGTATGTTATAGCTCTCAAGCAGACCAAATAAATGGCTGAAACAACTGGATATTTATTGACCTACACTCACGATCCACTAATCCAAGGCTTTTTAAGGATACGAGCGTGTTCACATGGGCAGGACGTTATAACACTTAAGACTTACCTCTTATTGTACCGAACGTGAAGGAATCGACTCGCTTCCGCAAGGACATGGCGAACGACAAACACGACGGACGGGATGGCGCGTATTTTAAGGCGATTTCATACTTGGTAAGCATGCCCAATGTTATGATGACGCTCCAACCTTCGGCTAACGTAAAAATCTCCGTTAGGCTGATTAACGCATAATTTAGAACTTCTTTTATGAAAAGAAATACTTAATTTAAACGCGCCATTCTCACTTAAACTACGAAACTGAAACCTCCTGCCATTTGTTCTTCATTTCCGGTCACCGTTCTTGCAACATAGGCAGTCAATTCATCGTCAGTTCATTAAGAGGTAAGACACTAAAACTTAAATGTCTAGTCAAATTTTATCAGTTGTGTACACACTTTGTTTACTTCAAATGTTTTATTAATTAAAGTGAGTTCTGCGAAGAATGTCATTTGAGTATTCACTGATCCATTCAATTCTGATTCGCCTCTCCCTCTTACAGGTTCCTCTGATATCTTTTTTCCGAATATGAACTTCGGATACCGTAGTACGCATTTGTTCGCACTCTCAGAATGGAAACGCTCGCCAGCATAGTGCAATTGTTTTGCGGGGTGAAAGACGAGAAAAACTTGTAAACAAAAGTTTACAGCCACGAGGCACTTTTTATAACTTCAATCGTACGTTAAATTCAAACAACATATTGATATACTAAACAAAATTAAAATAACATATCTAAAATTGTAAAAAAATTGTAAAAAATATAACTAGCTAAACAGCAAATTCCCACTCTCGTTGGCTCGTTGGTTCGCGTACTCGCTTTCCCCGGCGCAACGCCGGGTTCAATTCCCGACCGGGGCAAAATTATAACTGTGCGCTTTTCTCACAATAATCCCCGTTTCTATTGCTGCATGACGATGAAAAAGCTCTTCCTAATGTTATAAAGGACCAGTATATACGGTGGAGGGATGTCTTCGTGCTAATCACACGAACCCCGTATTCCACGGCCGAGAGGTTGGGCCACCGCTGATCGGCCATGGCCCAGGAAACAGAAAACTCACGTCTTCACTTTAGTGAAATCGTGCAACATTGTA